TAGCCTCTATACAACGAAAGGAGACTGCGACCACACAAATGGCCACACCATCTTGGTCTTCATACCTTATGTTCTACACTTTGTCGTAAGCCTGTGGTAGCACGTATACACCGACTTCACTGAACAAGCCCTTAAAGTCTGGATGATCGAGTGGCATGTAGACCCAACTTGAAACTGCTAATTCCCTTGTCACTGTGCCGCGTGGACGCCGAGTCAATCCCGTAGTCAAGCCTTTACTTCATAGACCAGATCTATGAACGAACTTGTCTGCTAGCAGCCAACCGTCAATGGTTTCCGCCGTATCTCTCGCTCTTCTCTCCCTAATGCCATGTCTATGCCATTCGTATGCCCTAGTCTGTTGTCTGCCGACCCACAAATGTGACAGTTCTCGTCGATGCCAATAGACTCACAGTCTCCTCTTGGTTTCCGATTCTTTCTTTCTGGTCTCCTTGCGATTTCTTTTACAAAAATGAAAGATGCTACCTGGATCCAGTCGTCTTCATCTGCTTATTTTAATGTTGCCTAATCTTCTCAGAGTTCGCTTAGGTAATATTCTGCCTTCTCCAAAAATTGGGTTGCCCTCGTTGTCGCCACTGGGTCTTGTTGTCAGGGCGACTAATCAGAAGGCACCTAGTCCGAAGTCGTCTGTCATAGTAGTTGTCATAATTTCCAGCATCAGACAGTGGACTTGATACATTCTCAAATGTTTCGCCGGCATCGTAGTCGGCATCATCAGTGAGTTTTGCCATTCGCCGCGAACACGTCAAAGAGACAAATGAAGTTGATCCCTCGACAAACGTTGGTAGATGGGCCAGGACAGAAAGGGGAGTAATAGCGTAACCGTTTTCGGCAGAACGTTTGTCGAGGTATTGACACCATTTGTCTCTTTGACGAGGCCGTAGCTTGGTCCAGAGAATGACAACACTCAGTGATGATGCCGACTAAGATGCCTGCGAAACGTCTAAGAATGTACCGAATTGGCGGTCTGATGCTGTCAATTATGATAACTTATATGGCTGAGGTCTTCGGACTAGTTGCGTTCTAATACGCCGCACTGACAGCAAGACCAAGTTGCGACAACGAGGTCAGCCCACTTCTATAAATCGAAACGAAACTGCGACCATACCAGAGGCCACATCATCTTGGACTTCATATCTGTCTTCTTCAAGTTCATCAGATTTCTTTCAGTCAGCATATCGTTGGCCTGCCGGATCTTGCGTTTTCTCGTATTTTTACTATATGCAGTCAGCCTTTCTTTCGATTTTCAGTCGATTTCATGTCTCGTCCGTGCAATGTGATCCGCTATTTCGGATCTTTCTGTATCCCCATTTCTGCAGAGCTTTTGACGTTCTTTGATTCGTGTAGTTATTTTCCTTCCTGTTTCACCAATATACTTCTGCCCACAATTGCCACCAGAACAATCTAGTTTACCAACCTTATTGTGCTGTGCCAGCTGGCTGGTGAAGGGTGTTGTCTTTTCTTTTGTTATCCCCTTGATATTCCATTGTCTCAGTGAGGTCATGATTTCTGGCTTAGTTCGTAGAAGGGTAGGCATATTCACCTTTGGTCGTCCTCTCGATTCCTCATTTTTTTTCATAATATCCTAATTGAAAACTGTTATTAATGACCTCTATATTTCTTTCTATCACTTCTCCGAGGAATTCATTACTAATAGCTTTTGATGATCAAACTCTTCAGTATTCCGATCTTCAGTCTTTACTTCTGGGGAGACTGAAATCGAGGATTATTCACGCATGTGATTTTTCCTGAATAGTCTCCTTTTGAGTATTCCGTTGGAGCAAATGACCTCAACATCCAGGAGGGGTAGTCGTTTATCCTCCTCCACCTCCGTTGTGAACAGAATTATTCCATTAAATTGGCTTATAAAGTTGAGGAACTCAAACAAATTTTCCTTATTATGCGACCAAAGTGCAAAGTTCTCGTCCAGTTATTGCATAAGAACTCTTAGTTGCAGCGGTGACTTCTCGACTTTCTTCTCCAATCTGTCCATGCATACATTTGCCAGAAGAGTTGAGAGTAGAGATCCCATCGGTAGTCCAAATATTTGCTCATAGATATTGCCGTTGAATGTAAAACATGTGATACTTAATGTCAGGTTGATTAGTCCGCTCTGCTTCCAGGATATCCTGCCCTCGTTCCAAGACCTCCAACAGGGCACTGACTGCCTTTCCGTCTGAGATGTTTGTGTACACTGATTGTACGTCCAAACTTACTAGCAATTCCGTCCCTGCCTGTTTCATGTTTTGGATCCTTTGAGAAAATTCATATGAATTCTTCACCGTGTTCAAGAGTTTGTCGTTTACTTTCTTTAACTACTAGCATACAAATTTCGCTAGTTTCTGTGTTGCTCCATGCTTGTTGTTGATTACTAACCTTAGTGGTTTTCCTTCCTTGTGTATTTTCAGTAGTCGGTGATTTTGCGACATTTTTCATTTTTCATAAATCATCATCCATCCGTCGATCCTTCCGTTTTTATGCATTTACTTTAATATATCCTTTAGTATTCCATCGATCTTCATTGCTGAATCCTTTATTACTATTTGATAAATGTTCAGATCGCCTAGTATAATTTCCATATTCTACGTCTACTGTTTCCTGTCCATTACCACCGTTGCTCCTCTTTTATCCGCCTCAAGAATTATTTGGTCATCGTGTGGCAGGATTATTGGGATTATTTACATCGACATCTCCCGTTTTATCTCTTCTAGTTATTTATCTTTTATCTTAACAACTTCTAAAGGTATATCATCAAGAACATTTCCTTGATTACCTAGGAATAGACTTAACCTCATCTTCAGGATAACCAACCTTTCAGAATCAATAGGGATTGAGGATAAATTCCCTACCTATCGTCGATTATAGCAGTTGATTCCTTCAATACAGTACTATCATACCTTTTCGGAGTTCGCTTGATCCTGCACTATCTTATTATCACATATCTTATCATTTTCTTGTCTTGCCGATTATTTATCAAATCCTGGTCCAAGATGGTGTAGCCTTTTGCATTGTCTCAGTCTCCTTTCGTTGTATGGAATTTGTCTGACCTTTTTTTCGAAATTTGGTCGTGTTGGCAGAAAGACCCGGAGGAACGCGCCTAGTCCAGATTCCAAAGTATGAATGATCATTTCCAGAGTCGGACCATAGACTAGTTACATTCTTAGTCTTTTCTCCGGCATCGTCAGTATACTTTTACCTAATTAGCACCACCCTACAACTTATCAAAGATACAACTAAAGTTGATCCTTTGACCTGTTGTGGTATCTCTCCTTCTGTCCTTTTCCACTGTAACGAGGTAGCGCAAAACATTGCACTGACGGAGCATGAAATTGACTAGAATTCAACAGAAATACTGACCGCTTATGGTGAAAATACGAGAAAATTCAAGATTCGAGAAGCCATCATTATCCCAACTGAAATAAATGTAATGAAGAGACTTGAAAAGGGCCGAATTAGACAAAACTTTACATATTGCATAAGCGAACCCAGAGAAAGTCATGGAACTGCAAAATCAGCAAAATAAAAGACGACTAGATCAAGAAAATATTTTGAACATGTAAAATAGAAATTGTGAGGAGGCCACAGCGGAACAATAAGAAATCAAGAGGAGACGTCTACTGTGAGCCTTTTCAATGCTTGTCAAACCACAACATTTGGGCTTTGGCCCACAAGATAATATGGCACTATGTGTAGAAGTAGATAGATGTGGTAGAGA